AACTCTGACCTTGTCGATGAACTCTGACCTTTGTCAATGACTTGTCCATTAGATAAGGGATCATATATTCCTCCATTCTAGATATCATATGGACTGAGACATGGATTATCAATCATTCTCTCTGTCCATTTGTTGTTTCCCGATTTCCGATTCATGATGACTGACTGATTGAACAAATCAAATCAGTCCTGGCTTGGCCAAGCACTCACATGTATCATCTTTAAATCATCGAGGGGCCCACAGATATCGCTTTTATCCCGAAGGTAAAAGGAATGGATAAACTTCGACTCATATGGCTTGTTCTACTACTTGTTGAATCATACACAAAGGCACGTTTTATAACATCGAGTTACCAATGCGTTTTCGTGCAATCAATGTATAACCAACTCATAGTAACAACTCATATCTCTAGGTTTGAAGAATATAAGATATTATCGTCTCATGATCACTCGTGATAAAATCCATGAAGTGATTCAAATGAGCGCGGGTTGAATCCAATACTCAGAACTTATGAGCACTCATGAGTGTTGTAGCACTACTTTGTCGACCAACTTGGACCTCTACAAACCAACCCATGACAGTCTTGATTCATATCTACTTCCAACATATGACCGACTGTGGATGGTTTGAATAACTTAATCATTCAGGAAGAGCGACTTAGTTATTCTGGAAATCAAAACATGCAAAGTGAAACACAAGAATAAATGAATCAAATATGGTATCAAACCCTATGAATATAAATAAACACTTTTATTTATCCCATACCGATTACTCATTATTCATTGTTTCGGTTTTATCAACTTTATACTTGAATTTAAAACAATAGTTGTCCCATGCTCCAAGCATGTACACTATGTTTTCTAAACACTAGTCATGTCATACACCAAGTATGCATACTATGTTTGTCTATGATCTTTACTTTGTAAAATAGATCAATTGAACATCACTCCAATGATCCTCTTTTCACAGTCCCAAATCCTTACTGCAAATGCAAGAATTCCATATTCATGCCATTTACTGAAATCTGTTAGATTCTAAACTTATATGCATTGATCCTCTTAATGATTATGCACGAAGTCAGAAAGACTTGACAACAATCATTACAGAGCATTCCAAAGGAGATCAGCTCCTTGGAAACATCCTTCTTTCATTAAGTTTCCTAATCTTACACAGATTGAATAATTTCTAACTTTGAAACATTTCCATATTCCATTTTGACTATCACTTCTGAACAAGAGTTGCCTCTTTACAGATTATGTCAATATGGTCCTTCCAGAATTAACATTATACTTCCAACTATCCTTGAGCAACCAATCTTTGGTAAACCTTAGATTGTCCTCGACAATTGCTTAATCATTTTAGTCATATCCAATTCTAGACCTTTTCCCTTCATAATGCCCCAGGCATTTTGAAAATTTTAGAAAGGATGAATATAGCACATGTAATCGATCCTATATCCGAAGCATATGGGACACGATTCATGATGTCTCACATAAAGACTAAACCAGTCTTTTGCTATAATATTTCCATTTCAATTTGCCAAGTTCTCAAAATTCAGATTATGAAAAGGGATGCCGTAATCATAATCGAATTTTAGAACGCAAATAATGGACCCATATATAGAATTTCCTTATGTTGAGCCATTCCAACATGAAATTCATATATATATATCCTTGATTAAATACAATTAAAATCTCAATCTAAGCTTTTAGAATTGAAATGAAGTATAATTTCCTAATCATAATCGAATTTTAGAACGCAAATAATGGACCCATATATAGAATTTCCTTATGTTGAGCCATTCCAACATGAAATTCATATATATATCCTTGATTAAATACGATTAAAATCTCAATCTAAGCTTTTAGAATTGAAATGAAGTATAATTTTCTCTCCCTTAATTATAGCAAAATAACTTTTTCAACCCCTGCAACCTCACGCATAGGCTAGGACGGTGGATACCTCTAGAGAGGTTTTGCATTCTATCGGTTTACTCTTACTTGGTGGATACATTTAGATAACTTATACTTTGGAGTTTCGTGCCATACTTCATCAACTCCCAATTCCCATGAGAATCAAAGTTTTCAATGGTTGTGATATTTTTTCCTTCTATGGTTGATTTAATCTTTCAATGCTTTGCAAAATGATCATTGGTGGTTAAAATGGTTTTAAGTTTATTCATGATTTCAAAATTTTCGTTACCATTTTTAGCGTTTTTTTGGGAAAATGTTGTTAAGCATAACATATTAAAAACATAATTGTGACATGTTCAAACATAAGTATAACATAAAAGCATCTTCAAGCCTCGACCCTTATGTATAATTTGTTTGCTTTGTTATATCATATTTTCACTAATTACTTAATTAAACAAAATGATATTTATTTAAATCATCTCCATTCATTAACTATTTTTAATTTTTTTTAAGAATTTAACTAATTACCATCATCTTCACAAATATAGTATTAAACCCCTTATAATTTATTAATTTTAAACATATATAATATTTATAAAATTGAAAAGCACTTGACTATATCATTAAATAAAAATAACATATTATAGTATATAAATAAAGAGATCATGAGTGTTTTGACATACAATAACATCAACAACGTTTTCTTTTATAACTAGGGAGGAGCAAAGTAATCGACCCGGCAGGAAACGGTCCGAACCGGAACCGGCTCGGGAACCGAACTTGGTGGAAAATAGGAACCGAACCGGACCGCCGGTTCTACCGGTTCCGGTTCTTTCGGTTCCGGTTCCTACCGGTTCTTGCCGTGTCTTCAATGTTGAAACCGGTACTTGAGAAATAGCAACATATGGTTCCGGTTTTTGCCGGTTCTACCGGTTCATGGTTCCAAAAATCCACAAGAATATCGTCCCGGTCCCAGCCCGACCGGTACCGGTTGCGGTCGGTTACCCGGTACATATGCGCATCCCTATTTATAACCATAAAATAGCACAAACAAACAAAACTGAAAACGATAAATATAGCGGGTCTTTTTTTTTAAATTAAAAGATGATAAAATTATTATTAGTTATAGTTATTAGGGGTGAGCAAACCCAAACCAAGACCGAGAAACCGACGAAACCGAAACCGAAAAAACCGAAACCGAAGCAAAACCGACGGTTAGGGTTTAAATTTTTTAAAAACCGAAAAATCGGGTTCGGTTTCGATTTTTACCTAGAAACCGACCCATCCAACCCGGGAAACCGACCCATACTTAAAACCGACAAACCGCCCAAAAAAACCGACCCATCCAACCCGAGAAACCGACCCATACTTGATTGTTTTTTGGTTGTAATAGACTATTTCAGGCTATGGTTGTGACTTGTAATAGACTATTTGTTGTAAGACTCATGTTTTTTGAAGGATTTAACTTAAATTTGATGTTTTTTAAAGTATTTAACTTGTTGCTTCATTTATGAAAAATGGGTTAAAACCCAAAACCCACGGGTTTAAACCCAGAACCCATGAATATATGGGTTGAACCCAAGAAACCGAAAAACCGCCCAAACCGACCTCAGAATCCGAGAAACCGAACCGACCAGAAACCGATCCTATTGGGTTCTTAAAATCAGAAACCGACCATTTATGGGTTGGGTTGGGTTTGGGTCCAAAACCGACCCAAACCGACCCATGCACACCCCTAATAGTTATACAATAAAAACATCATGTGATAATTACGAATTTAATATTTAACATTGGAGATTAAAATGATAAAAACTAATTAATCAAAAAATAATAAAACTTTAAATGTTAAATAAAATAAGGGAATAAAATGGAACATTGTTAAATAAAATGACTTAATTGTATCAAACATTAAGCTTAAAAAAACATTCAGTGAAATGTAAAATGTAAGGTTTTGCGTTATTAAAGGACCGCACCCTGCAGTGGCCGACATGTAGCACTTGTTCCCGACGGGAACACCGTATAGGCTAGGACGTTGCCCACACTAAATGGAACCACGTTGCATTCTCCTTTTTTTTTTCTTCTCTTTTGACAACGATTACTTTTTGAAAAGAAAACATAATACCTTCTATAAGGCCATCAGGTATGCATACCACAAAGCCTTTCGTGGTCTAGGTGGCAACGACCACTAACCACGAACACCATCATGGTGTTTAGTGGTTGATAGTGGTCGTGGTAAATTGTGGTGTATACCATGGATCACCACATCCAATTGCATTCTCTCTCTCTCTCTCTCTCTATATCTCTCTAACTTTCTCTTCTCTCTCTACAATAAAATATATATATTTTATTTAAAAATAAAAAAAATAAGAATTGTATTGTGGTAGATATCCCATGGTTAGTGGTGGGTATTGTGGTGATGATGTGACACTCACCACTATAATGATTAGTGGTGGGTATAACGGACGGTCAAATACCCATAAACTTTAATAATTTTTTTCACACCACCCTCTCTTATTTTCTCTCTTATTAACCTCTAAAATGAATTTTCAAAATTCCTCAATTTTCACAACGCCGCTATCATCATGTAACCAACCTCATCTTCCTAGCACAACCATAACCACAACCACACTCAATTTTCAAACAAAATTTCAATCTATCTAATACTCTTTTTTCACCATTGTCGTTGTACTTTTTATTGTATTTTTTTTATTTAATGAAATAATGTAACTATCTTAAGAATTATTTTTATTATTTGTATTAAATTAAAATAATGAAAGATGAAAAACGAATATAATATAGGTTGAAAGAAAGCAATGAGGGTGAAAATGATATGGCAATGACAAACATAGAAAGGAAGAAAAGAAAAGAAGAGGTTTAACAATAGCCTAAAGAGGTTGATATTATTAACCAAAAAACATTTCACTCCAACGGTATAAGAGCTCCCTTATACTATTGGAGATAGTTATGTGAAAAAAATAATCATATCACATGGGTTCACATTCTTTTAAAATTATAAGTTTTTCTAATTCTAAGATGTTAAACATAATATGTGAAAAACATAAACACAAATTAATACTCACAGAGAACAAATTCACTGTCATACCATATGTGATTTAGTAAGAATATCATCAGATCCAGAAACAAACCAAATTTTGAGAAAAAAATCCACCGTTATAAAAACAAGTAAAAAAAAGCCTATACCTACAAAATTTAATTCATTGCTTTGATTATAAAAACGCAGGGAAGGACCTTGAATCTCTAAATCAGCTTCAGTCAGATGTTGTTTTCTTGGAGTTTTAAATATTTTTCTTCCTTGTCTTGAGAGTATCCACACTTGCCTTTTTCCTTTCTTGCGAAATCTGGACACAAAGAAACACAAATTAAATAAACAAAACATATTATGGGCTTCTTGATAAAAAAAATAGATAAATACAAAGTAAGGTAAACTAACCTTCATGGCTTCATAAAGTCTCCTCTTTTTACGTGACATGGCAACCTTTGACATGTTGTCATTATCATCAGCAAACTGCTGCAGATTTTCATCATCTTCCGTTTCTTCATCATCAACATTCTTATTCTTCTTCTTGCTCTCTTTAGGTGTAGTGGGTGCATGTTGTGTTGTCCCTTCCAGTTCCTTTTTTAGTTCCTGATGATACTCCTCTTGAAGCATCGCCATCTGCATCCCCAAGGGGTAAAATCGTCATTTTACACAGGTAGGTTCAACACAACACCAACTCATAGACTAAGGAGCTGATTCTTTTCTTACTTAATGGGCTTATTGGGGGGTAAGCACACTAAATATAATGAAGATCGTAAATAAGCTTTCTGGGATGCAAGGGCATAATGGTCATTTGCCGATCAAGAAAAGATACAAAATTTTATCATTATTCATCAATCATTGGAATGTAAGGCGTAATGAAACAGGGAGCAAGAAGAAAGAAAGATTCTTTTGGGGACCAAATCCGAGAGGACGACCAAAGCACAAGGACCAAAAATGTAAATTTGTAAAGCAGGAGGGAAGGAGAGTAACCTTTCTTTTTCTTTCCGCGGCTTCTTTGGCTTTAGTGCGATCAATGATGCCTTCAGCAAGTAGATTTTGGGCATTATTAAGATCATCTTGTTCGCCACCTGGCATTGGGAGGATCTCTTTTCTAGCAGCAGCTTGATGCCTTTTAATGGTCTTTGCATACTCGGGTACATACCCTTCTACTTCATTGTCAACAAATGGAGACAAATGTGGTGGAAGAACCCTGATTTACACACAATAACAATGTTAACAACTATTATCATCTTTTGGTCCCTGGGTATCGTTTATTATTTCAATTTTAGTCCTTATTTGAGTTTTTTGAAACATTTTTTGGTCTAGGTTCCAAGAAAAATGACTATACTTTTAGGACCAAAATTGCATAAATCAACTATACTTAGGCCGAAAATAGTCATTTTACATGAAACAGGGACCAAAAATGTTACAAGAACCTGAAAAAGAACCAAAACTGAAAGAAAAATTTGTGGGACCAAATTGCAAAAATCAGCTTTACTCAAGGACCAAGAATGTCCGTTTTACTTTGAACAAGGAACAAAAACGTTTCAAGAACCTCAAATAAGGACTAAATTTGTAAAAGAACACTTTTTGGGACAAGAATTGCAAAATCAGCTATAGTCTGGGACCAAAGATAATCATTTTACTTGGAAAAAGGGACCAAAAATGTATAAGAAAAATATTTTGGGACCTTATTTGCAAAAATCAGATATACTCTACTCTGGGACCGAAAATAGTCATTTTACTTTGAACAATGAACAAAAACATTACAAGAATCTCAAATAAGAACTAGAATTGTTAAAGAACACTTTTTGGGACCAAAATTGCAAAAATCAGCCATAATTTAGGACCAAAGATGGTCATTTAGTGTGAAAAGGTACCAAAAACATTACAAGAACCTCAAATAAGGTCTAAAATTGTGATAGAAAACTTTTGAGGACCAAAAATGCAAAATCAGCTATACTTAAGGACAAAAAATTATACTCTATTAAAAATTAATGTTAAAAAGTGGTGTTCATTGAACTTACTTCCCAACAATATACTCTTCGGTTGGTAGTATAATTCGTGCATTTATGCAATCAAAGACCCATTGTGGCTGTATATAATCTCTGGTGACTTTGACTTGGCCTATCAACAATCTACAAAAATAAAACACCAGAATAATATTAATTAGTAAGAAATATAAAAGAATTTTTTATAATAAAATAATAAATACCTGATAATTAATGCTCTGGTTAGATTCCTCAAATGGAGCTCCATCTCCCTCCCATGAAACCACACCACCAAATGCCGTAATCACAAAAAGCAATGATTCTCTTGGAACCTGTAAAACAAATAGACACTCACTTTAACAAGATGAAAGAAGCTTGAAGGTGAAGCATTTATTAATTTTTTTTTTTTAAAAAAACATCGACTTTATTTACCTCACGACTCAAGAAGAATGTCATGTTTTTGAAAAGGGTTTTACATGCTCTTGTTTCTTTATCATCTTCATTCTCATCACCAGCATTTTCAACATACCTTGTCAAAGCATATAAATCTGCACAAATTTTTAAAAAGTTAATTTACCTTATGATATCTAGTAATAATTAATCTATCATGTGATAGAAAATTCATACCTGAAGCTGAAGATTTCAGTCGAGGATCAAGGATAGGTGGATATTTCAAATTAATCGAATTGTAGAGTTTAAAATTAACAAAACCAAGGAGATTCTGCATATTTTAATCAATTTATATGTAAGTAAGAGTTAAAACAAAAAAGATAATATTCATAAGAAAGGTAGAAGCTTGATCATATCACAAACCTCATATAATTCCAAGAATGTAAGCATGATCTTGTAATCTACATCTTGAGGCATTACTTGTTGTAGTGCATGAGGTGTCAACCATGTGATTTTTTGCCCTTCAACCTCTGCCTAAAAGGGGCAAATTGGTAAATTTACATTCTATATAACATCAAATTTAATAATTTATATATGTGATGATTCTATACCTGGTAATATATGCCTTTCACAGATATGAAAGCCTTTCGCAATTTATGTGTGCGAGAGACATATGCTTGCCACTCAAGACTCAACCTAAAGAAATTAAAAAGATATAAACCATTAAGATATAAAATTAGATATTCAAAATATGGGAACACATTACACATATATACCCTCTACAGTTATGGATTCTTTCTACTTGAATGTTTTTCCCTTTCTATAGCAGGTAATGCAGCAAAAAGATGCACCATGGTGAGTCCATCATCCAAAACTCTTAATGCATCAATGAATGTTTGGATACCTGAAGTCAATTTGTAAAAAGTTAGGACTTAATTGGGAAAGTCTCCTTTTGACTTTTGCTATCAAGTCTTTCTTTCTGCATTTAGTGCAAAAGAAAAACCAATATAGCTATATAGCTTACTGGATTAAGTAATGTCCTCATTGAGTCAAAAGGAAAATGCAACAAAAAGTGTTTTATAAGTTAGATATATAGTCACACTAACCTCTCAAGGATAGGCCTATCAAGTGTGTAAGAAGGCTTGCGTGTCGACACGCATTCAACAAGATTTTTGTTCTTCTTAGACATTGCTTTCTTTTTCTTTTTCTCATATGTCCTAGTCTCACGAAACTTGACAAGAAGTGGCTCATGTTTAAGACCCAAAATATCTTTCATGTGATAATAGGTATGGTGGTTTCCCTTCACTTTTTTCTTCGGGTCTCGAGGAAAAACTTTTTTGAAGATACATAATTTCCTATTGAATCATAAACAACCAAAACATTTGGATTATTAGAGTGAGTATACATAATTGAAAATATAGAACCTCTTATGAATTGAATACGTACCAAATATTTAACTATCAAATACACAACACAAGAGAGTAACTATTCAAATCCACACTATTACATGTTTTGCTTTTTAAATCAATAAGACCCTTGATCATGGTAGTAAATGACATCAATTAGGGTTATGGACTTCTTATCACTCCAAACTAGGGTTCTGAACCTCTTATCTCAAAAACGCTCATTGAAGATAAATCAATACATTTAACAATAAAAACTTATTCAAATTCTTCATTCTAGATCCTCATTCAAACACTCAATATGAATATACATTTAACTACGTCGATTGCAAATTCAAACATTGAGCTTTTGTGCTTCTTATCTCACCTCATACACATCTATATGTCTACAACATACGCCAAGTAGATTCAAAGCAAATTAATACTGAACACGGAAAGACTGACTTGCAGGTCCTTAACAGCTTGCGACCTAGTGATGTATCTGGCGGCGTTCCCTTCCTTCTTCTTCCCCTGCAAACCATAAGTAAAAAACGCAACATAAAAACGATATTCTTCCGTGTAGGGAATTACTTGTAAGTTTCGTTTGAAACTTACTGGAGGCTGTAATGTTTAGGCATGGCTGCTAGCAGTCACGAATCTGCTTCTAGGAAAGATGGTGAGGTACGGTGCTCCGGTGAAAGGTGACTCAGCGAGTTGAAATCCTTTCTCTGGAGAGGGAAAGGGAGGCTGTGGGTGGCCGAAGTTCGGCGACGAAGAAAGGGAGGCGTATGTTCTTCGATCGTGAAACTATATATCTTACGGTTTTCGCATTAAAAAAGTATTATACTACTACATTAAGGTATGTCGGTGTTACCATATTTACCTCCCCTCAACTTTCAGAAATATACTTTCCACCCTTGTCTTCTTTTAACTTTCAAGAATGATATTTTTTATTCCTATATTTCGCAAAATGTTATTTTAAGTCCTTCTATTTTGAACCTTTTAAAATATCAGTTTCAAACCCTTTTATTTTCGAAACGTTTTATATTTAACCCAAAAAATTACTTGTTTTTGTATGTATGTCTCGGTATAAATTTGAGTTTGTCTACGTTTCGATGTAACATTTTAACGTTTTCATGTTTTATATTATGTATGCTTCTTACGTATGAATCATATCACATATAACATGTTTGATTATTTGAACTTCCGTTCGTTAACTTTAAAATAATCTTACTTATTTTTATGTGTGTTGATATAAAATATAATTTCTTTATATTTTCGTAAATATTTTTATGTACTTTACTACGTATGAATTTGGTCATATGTAATTCATTTTTATTCAACGGTATATTGGAGTTAGTCAATGGTATCGGTTTTGTATATTTATCTTCTAACAAATATAATGATATCTAACTTTTATTAATATAATCGTCAAAATTCAACTTATAAATGGATTTGGGCAATCTTTAAAATTCAACTTATAAAATGGACTTAGGCAGCCACAATACGCTGTGGGCAACTTTGCATTTATTATTTAATTTAGACTAAATTACAGAACTAGCCCCTATTGTTTGGTCAAATTTGAAGTTTCGATTTTATTTTCATAAAATTTATACATTTCATCGCTGTGGTTTTCAAATATTACGATTTTGTTTTTTTGTCTATGTAAAATAATTATACTACCCTTATATATGAATGAATTTGGACCCACCACCCCACCCCCACATCGTTCTTATCCTTCACAACAGGCCCGACCCAATAGGGGGGGCAGGTTGGGCAATGGCCCAGGGCCCCAAAATTTGTATAGGGCCCATTTAAGAAGTCTGTTATAGCAAATAGAAATAGTCCGGTATGTGTTTTCTGAAACATTGAGGCCCATATAGAGTTCCATTAGGTAATCAGAAAAAAAAATTGGCGCCTGATTTCTCGGTAGCTTCTCGTACGCACGTTGATTCGTTCAAGCCTAAGCGGGACTCTTCAGTTTTCAATGCCAATTGCTATCGTCCTTGAACCTTGATTCTTGAACTGTCCCCTCGACCCCTGTATCTTCCACAGTCCCGCACTCCCGCTCCCGATATTGAAGGAAAACGAGATTACGAGAACAACTGATTTCTGAAATCGATTCCATCCAGACTTTCCAGTAATCGATTGAGCAATAAGGAAGCAATAACATCTGATCAGGTAAGAATAAGCAATTGATTTTTACTTTTTTTTTTTACTGATTTTCAGATTTCTTAGAGTGATAGAGATTTATCAATTTTCTAGATTTCGTGTGTAGCACCTGGTTCTTGGTACGTATTCTTTTTATTAATTCTTTAAATATTTTGCATTTTGGCCTTGGACTCGGCGAGTTGAAGGACCAACTCGCCGAGTAGAAGCGAGAAGGGACGCGAGACTTAAGTGATGAACTCGGCGAGTCGGGTCCCGGACTCGGCGAGTAGGTGCTGTTCGGACCAAAAACCCTAATCCGAGGTTTTGCACCCTATTTAAGCAATGATATGACGGCCATATTGTCCCTTATGCTCCCAAAACACTTCTCATTGAAACCCTAGCCGTTTGTGCATTGTTGAGGCCATTTTTGGTGTTTCTTGTGTGGTTGTAAAGCTTGGAAGGAAGAAAGGAGCTTGGAACCTGAGTTGGGGACAGTAGATCCAGAGATTTTACTTCATTTTCAGCAGCTTCAAGGTATAATGCCCCTGTCTTGACTCATCTATGTGTTATTCATCTTTAACTTGGGATTTCTTTGGATTGTTAAGTCATGTTTTGGTATTGGAAGTGTGGAGTGGGTTTTTGCCTTCAGATCTGGGCCTTAAGAGGGGTTTCATTCATGGCATAAAGGTGCCAAATTTAGGGCCATGAGAGCCCCATGCTCATTGTAGGACACTTTATGTGGATTTTGAGCTAACAACCCCATGCATGTGCATCAAGTTTGGAACTTTACGTATAAAGTGGACATTAGGAGGCCAGATCTATGGTTTTGGGTGTGCTAGATCCCATTTAAATCAAACTGTATGGAATTGGTCAAGACTGGACTCGGCGAGTCCGTTCTTGACTCGGCGAGTCCAAGGCAATCTTCTTAGAACTCGACGAGTTGTTCATCAATTCGGCGAGTCGAGGACAAGATCTTGGTTCATCAGATGAAGGTGGACTCGACGAGTTGTTCATCACTCGGCGAGTCGGATGAGTTTTCATGTGACGTTCATATGAGAGAAGAACTCGTCGATTTAACGGTCCAACTCGACGAGTAGAGTCGTGATAGGACAAATGGAAGGTTAGGGACTTGGCGAGTTGGCTAGCCAACTCGGCGAGTCAGGTCAACTGGAAGTTGATTTTGACTTTGACTTGACTTGATCAGGGGTAAGGGTCATTTTACCCAAGAGTAGATATCAGATTCTGATTGTGTGTTTTGTGGGATTTATAGCCAGAGGATTTCCGGAGCAGCAGCAGCGATAGAGAGAGTTCCCCCACAGATCAGCAGCTACTACGAGGTGAGTTACCTTCAAGTAGCGGTGGGGTCTACGGCCACATTGTCGGCCCACCAGTAGGGATCGTATGATAGATGTTTTGTCTTTGTGATATTCATCTGTGTTGCTACTACCTGATATGTTATATGCTAGCGTGATATGATATGTGATAGTGATAGAGATTCGGTTGTTAGGACCGAAGGGTAGGTAGGCGCCCCAGATATGCCTAACAATATGTTATGAGATGTTTAGCTGGCTAGCATGATTTGTTATATGAGATAGAGGTAGTAGGAGGGGGAACAGTCCCCGGAGATTCGGTTGTTAGGACCGAAGGGTAGGTCGGACACTCCAGATATGTCTGACATAGATTATGTTATGATATATGTGATAGTAGTAGTAGGGGGGAAATAGTCCCCGAGGTTCGGTTTGTTAGGACCGAAGGGTAGTCAGCACCCCCAGAATGGCTCGACATGGGTAGGTCAGCGCCCCAGAATGGCTTGACAAACGGGTAGGACGGCACCCCAGAATGGCCGCATGGGGGTAGGTCGGCACCCCCAGAATGGCCGTACGGGGTAGGTCAGGCACCCCAGAATGGTCGTACCGGGTAGGTCAGGCACCCCAGAAATGCCTGGCAGTATGTATGCTATATGATTGTATGGTAAGGTGGGACAATGGGGGGAACTCACTAAGCTTTGTGCTTACAGTTTACAGTTTTGTTTCAGGTACCTCTTCAGCGAAGGGGAAGGAGCTGGCGCGGTAGCGGCACATCATACACACACGCATTGGTTTTTCTGCATTATGAGATGTTTCTGGGATTGTACTCTGACATTATTATTATTTTCATGATTTGGTTTTCAGACACGAGATATATTTTTATGAAATGATATGATCGAATGTGTTTTATTACAAATGTTTTACAAATCAATTAATCAAAAAGGAAATTTTTGGACGTGAAATTGGGATGTTACAAGTTGGTATCAGAGCCCTGGTTTGAGGGATTCGGACACACCTTCGGGGGTGTCTGGACTCAAACGAGGGATTAAAAGATTTTTTATAAAGAAATGATTTTCTAAAGGCTAAGTAAAAAAGTTTTGAGAAAGAACAAGGTGTGTGATGTGCGCGACCGGCCGAGCTCAAGTAAGTTTTCCCCAGAGTACCCATACAAGTTCATGTTATGATTTACCAGTTTCAGTAGAACTGCATGCTAGAATAGGACTAAGGATCTAGGAATGATGCCTTATGTGCCTGCTTTATGTGCTTCAGCTTTATGAGAATTGCATGCTAGTATTGAGTAGACAGCAGTAGGATAGCCTGTTTAGGTTATGCCTGATAGTATGAGCTTAGCATTGTATGCTAGTACAGTTTCTTGTTATGGAAATAGATTTGCTTGAGTAGTTTCCTTTGTCTGAATGCTGCTTGCTTTGTGCTTTTAGGAGTTCTAGCTGTCTTTCTCTCTAACTAGTAAACGAATACGTTAATTACATATTGCAAGGACTAAATAATTCCAGAAGGTTGGGTCTAGCCCTATTTCGCAGCTCTTGTTTGAGTCCAACCGTTGTAGGGTAGGGTCTCTCATTCGAAGAATATCTAGTCTGAGTAATATGTAATAGTATTCGCGAGCTAGTTAGGGGAAGAAAGCAGGGACTTCTTATGCAGCTGATGACGGAGAGTGGGTGGGTGGTTACCTAGGGCAAGCCTAGGATGAGAGTAGCATGAGATCAGCAGTAGTAGTAGAAGGGACTTGGTGGAGTCAAGGCAGTTCTTGAGGAAAGTACATAGATGTGGAAGGTAGTATGGGCCCGTACTACTGAAAGCAGAGGATCCGTACTTGAATTGAGGAAGGCTGAGGCGAGACCAGGAACCTTGCAGTAGATGTGATCCCTCTAAGATGTATCAGTACCACTGACAGTTATCATTATGTATTGCAGAATGGTGGTACTACGTTCGAGGCCAGCAGTTGGCAGTTCGGGAGAGGGATCGGGTCCGGGTTCAGGTTCCGAACCAGTGGATGAGGCTACGCGGTTCATCGCGTCAGAGATCACCAGAGGCATCCTTGAGTCGACCCCATCATTTTCGGGTCGATCAAGGAAGGGATAGTTGAGCTGATGGAGGACCGCCTCAGGGCGTTCAGGAGTGACATGGCATCTGGCCAGTCAGGATCTCGCACACTGTCCTTTAAGGACTTCAGGAGCAGTGGTGCGACGGACTTTCCACGGGGCGAAGGACCCCATTGTGGCAAGACGCTGGATTGCAGACATTGAGTCTGCAGCAGCTTACCAGCTTCTGCCCCGAGGGGTCGAAGTGAGATTGCAGCAGGGGTGTTTGAGAGACAGAGCTAGAGATTGGGGAGTCTGTTGGTGACTCATTGGGAGCCTCGGCTGTTGAGGCTATGACATGGCCGAACTTTGTGACCCGGTCAGAGCAGAGTTTGCGCCAGATGTAGAGCTTCAACAGCTGGCCAGGGAGGTGTTTGGATATGAGGCAGATGACGGAGACTGTGGCGGAGATCACCGCCAAGTTCCGGGAGAGGGCGTTACTGGTGCCCCAATATGCGGGTGATGGGATATGAGGAGGACCCGCTACCATGACATTTTGCGAGCCGACATTCGGGAGCATGTCAGTTTTCAGTTTGCCCTACCCTGGATTCTAATGATTGTCAGGGCAAGGGAGAGGGATATAGATCTGGAGCACATCGGAAGAGGAAGGCAGAGGAGGGAC